GACATGGTAAAGGCTGAGGCACTCAATGAGTTCTTTCCCTGTGTCTTCACTGGCAGTCAGATTCCCACAGTTCTCACATTCCTGAACATCTAGGGATCAGAGGGGAAAAATCACTTCCAGTGTAAGAGCAGAGCAAGTCAGAAATCATCTTATGAGGCTGAATAGTGTACAAGTCTACAACACTGGACAACATGGATCCCAGGGTCCTGATGGAACTGGCTGATGTGGTTGCCACTCTCCACCATATTTGAAAATTCATGCTATCAGATGAAGTCTCCAATGACTGGAAAAAGGGAAACATCACTCCCCTTTTTAAGAAAAGTGAGAAAGGAGAACCCTGGAAACTGCAGACCAGTAAGCCTAACCTCTGTGCCTGGGAAGATCACCGAATACATCCTGCTGGAAAGCTATTTTAAGGCACATATGAGCCAAGAAGGTGAGCCAAGACAGCCAGCATGTTTTACCATGGGCAGATTGTGCCTGACCCATTCAGCCGTCTTCAGTGATGGAGTGATGGCATCAGTGGACCAAGAAAGGGCAACTGATATTATCTACAATTTAGGCTCATGAAGAGACATTGCATGCAGGTATAAAGAAGAGTTTAGCTTAACTGAAGGGCTTAACCTTGGTCCAGTTTAATGCAATGTCACACTCTCATATTAGCAGCCAACTTGTCTTAGCTGCAGTTGTTAAAAATCTGCAAACTTTTTTTACTGACAATGTATTTCTAATGACCACAACACCACTGATCATTGCACTGATTATTACTGAATAATTGAAATCATCAGTTGTGCTGTGACCTGAAATTGAGGGGAGGGAAGGTATCTCTTATGAACATATCTTTTCCTTTGTTGTCAAGGAGTGCTCTTACAGCTCAGGCAGGTTATTGCTCTAATGGATGGGTAAACTACTGAAGAATGTGGGAGCCCAAATCTTGCAGGTTCCCTTGATTGCTTTGTAGTGTAATGATCAAAGTAGGGAAAAGCTGGAAGTCAACAAGCTGAAGAGAGACAAACAGCTCAAGTGCCAAGAAACATAACGATTCAGCTGGATGCAAAATGGTCAAGTTTAAGCCTGCCATTAGATTTGTACTGGAACCAGTGCCCTCCTAGCAATATTCCAAAAGCAAAGTAAACCACCAGAAAGCTTTAGACTGTTCTCACTATTCAGTGAATGACAACTAGGCCCTATGTTAAGTGCACTGTTCAACCTCCTGTTCTGAATGCCAAGTAAGTAATTTATTTGTGGGTATTCCTGTAGCCTGCAATGTTGATACAAAGTGCTTCAAAAAGAGCTGCGAAGTTTTTATCTTCAGCTTTTCTCTATTATGAAAATTATTTGACCCTGTATTGAAAACGGGAAAGTAAGCAGTGGAGAACCTGAGTTGCCTGAGACCTCAATTCTCTGAGCATTTGCCATTACTCTTCTATAGACTATATTTAAATCTGTAAGTGCTCAATACTTCTTCAAGTCAGACCCAGGTGTCTTTGAATACACATTAGAAAATGAGGAACTCTGAATTGGTGGCTTTTTCTGAAAGCTTATCCCCTTGAAGGCAGATATGAAAAAAGACTTCATGCTCTATGAGATGAGAATCACAAAGATTAAGGTATCAATGAAAATTTGATATGAGAAAAAACTTTTTCATAGTAAGGGTAACAGAACACTGGAACAGGCTGCCCAGAGAGCTTGTGGGGTCTTCTTCTCTGGAGACATGTGTTTCTGTGTGACCTTATTTAAGTGCTCCTGCTAAGGCAAGGGGATTGGACTAGATGATCTTTCGAGGTCCCTTCCAATCCCTGACATGTGATTCTTTGTTTCTGTGCTTTACTTGTCTCAGAATGAGATGTGAAATAGGAAGATGATGAGGAACAGCATGAACTCAGCACTCAGACTGATGTAGTTCGCACAGAACAGACTACATAAAAACTTGGAAGAAAATCTTGGTGAGTCTCCCAGAACACCCTCTCTTCTTGAGGAAGATTACTTGAACGCCTAAGCCTGCAACTTATTTGTGAATACTTTTTTTAAAGGTTATCTGTTTCCTTTTATTTCTGGAAAATGATTATTATTTATTATAGTCTTTTAAGATGACTGACAGAAAAGAAACACTTCCTTCACTTTCTAAATGACACAGTAGCGGTTATGGTCAGGAAACAGAGCCCCAGGTTGCCTACCATGTCTCACCATGGAAATTGTTATCTGAGCAAGAGATTGCTTTAACCATGAAATGGCTGTGTACAGCCTGTATTTCATGTAAAAGATGCGCAATAAAAATTATATTGACATGACTGCATAGGGAAAGATGAAAGCACCGTGTAGGAGGGCATGGGATTCCCTAGTCTAAAACACAGGGGAAGTTATCCATGAGAGATTGGTCATAGTCTGATTGCTACTCTTTACACTGGGATTATCCAATGACTACTGAATGTGAAACAGTATTTCTGAAAACAAAATTAGAGATCAGCTATTTTGTCTTTTAGCTAGAACCATATTGCAAGCATCTGCTCCTCTTTTGTCCAATGACCACTGCTTCTTCTTTCATCAAGGTTGCAATTTCAACTGGTCAAGTGCAAATTAGCCCTAAGTGTGGTAGTTTGTATACTTTTAAGGAAGGAAATGGTCAAGGTTTTTAATACTTTCCAAAGAGAGCATCTTTATCCTAGGAAAGTGGCCTAGAAGAAGAATTACATGTACTTGAAAAGAAAGCATTTGTATTTATAAGAAAACACAATCTTAATTACATACTTTAAGCATGCTCCTTCCTGACACATGGCCAGCTCTCTCAGTCCTGTCAAAACCCAGCTGCCCTATAGTTGCAAATGGATATCTGCTCTGTACTTGCCCTTAAGTATCCTAAGTACTGCTATTTTATGTTATAAGAAGTGACTGTTAGGGACTGTAGTCAGTGACTGCATGAGAATTGTCTCCACTTGGGCTGAAGAAGCTATAAAGTTTCATCTCAGCTTAATTTCAGGCATCCATTTGCTCTCGGCATCAGCCAAGACTTTCAAGCAGAATCAGTGACAGAATCTGATTTCCCAGAACATCACACAAGCATCAAAATCACAAGCTTACTCCCATTTCTTCCTGCAGTCCTACCTCCAGTCAGCATGTGTCCTTCAGCAACAATCGTGTAAGGGCTTTTACATGCTATAGTCTCCCTCTAAATGAGTGACTGATTGATTTTTTGTGTGATGACGTGTTCTTCTGTTCTATCCATACTTATATGATTGAGGGCTGTACCATCTTCCATATACACAAAGAAGTTGCTACTACACTGAATCTAAGTCAATATTAGTAAATTAAACTGTCAAAACTTGGGCTCAGGCCATGAAATTCACTTCCTTGTGTGGTTACAAACTGGTAGATTAAAGAGCTGAGCCATCACCAACCTCTTGAACTTTAACAAAAGCGAGTGTCAGATTCTGCACCTGGGACCGGATAGCTCTGGCTATATGTACAGACTGGGGGGAGTAGAGGCTGGAGGGGGTCAGGGGATTCTGGCTGATGGCAAGCTGACAGCAGCAGCCCAGCACTGACACCCACTGAGGGGTGGAGATGTCCTGCTCCCACTGTGCTGAGCACTGAGTGCAGGTTTGGGGACCACAGAATGAGAATATGGACATAAAACTATTAGACAGTGTCAAAAAGAGAGCTATGAAGACAGTGAAGGGTCCGGATAGAAGATATATGAGGAGTGGCTGAGGCCCCCTGTTGCACTTGATGGCGGCTGCAGCTCCTCACAGGGAGCGGAATGGGCAGCACTGAGCTCTGCTCTCAATGGCATGGAGCTGTCAGGGAAGGGGCAGCTGGGGGTTAGGGAGAGGGTCTGCCCCCAGAGGGCGATGGGCATGGAGCGGGCTGCCCAGGGCTGTGGGCACGGTCCCAAGTGCTGGAGTTCAAGGAGTGTCTGGACATTGCTCCCAGGCACAGGATTTGTTTTTAGGTGGTCCTGCATGCAGCCGGGAGTTGGACTCAATGATTCCTGTGGGCATCTTCCACCTCGGGATATTGTATGCTTCTATGATTATAATTTTGTTACAGTTTTGATTCACACAAATTAATACTCTCTTAACTTTAGGAGTTATCATAGATGAAAGATCATTCCAGAAAAAGGAGTTTGGAAGCAGCCATCCTGTTTCAGAGGCTGGGAACAGTTGTTACAGATGTGTCAGATTGGCTGAGGAACAAAGTTTGACTGGTTCCAGCAAATGGTAGTATTACTGAAGATGTCAAGTGAAGATGTCATTTCTGTCTAGACCACTAGAGGGTGTAGGCAAACCAACTTTGCCTTGGAGGTTCCTTCTTAGGTTTCTGTGGCATGGATATTTCTTTTTTTTTTTTTTCTTTCTCTCTTTCTCTCTTTCTTTCTCTCTTTCTTTCTCTCTTTCTCTCTTTCTCTCTCTCTCTCTCTTTCTCTCTTTCTTTCTCTCTTTCTTTCTCTCTTTCTCTCTTTGTCTTTGTCTTTTCTCCAGAGTATTTGAAGAAATGAGCTGAGAGGATCACATCTTTCTGTCCTCTACAACCTACTTACATGTAGAATGTAACCCAGAGTGAGTATTTCCTTCTCCCCATTAGCTGCTGCCCAGATACATCTATCCTCATCTCCCTCAATTCTGGATTGCTAGCTTTCCTCCTGTTTTTTTTTTTTTTTTTTCCTTTCCCTCAGCATTTCTATTCCTGTTGTCTGTGATCTCCTATCCTATCTCTTGCCCTGTAATCCAGGAGGATTTCCCTTTGCTCCCCTCACTGCAGACTGCCTGAAGGAGAAATAATAAGAGCACAAAAGGCTCCCTTTTCCAACCTTCAGCTGCTGAATCACTGTAGGACAGAAATAGTGTCTCCTTAGTGTACCCAGGATTCTGGGATAACAGGATTTCATTTGGCACAGTTCAGAGAATCTCAACAACTAACCATATCTTTGAGAACATATGGTGAAAGAAAAAAAACAACAAAACAATCTTTACAAGGTAATTCCTTTCTTTGTGCTTACTCACCTGCTCACAGCAGAAACTTGTGTTCCTGAATATTCCCTTATTGCCTCAGAAATTGCCTTATATAGCTAAACTCTGCATGTAACATCCTGTCAAAGAACATGCAACACTTTTCATCTTAAGTGTTGATCAGACTTACAGGCAGCTCCCTAAGGAATTTGTCCCGCCATGGTCACTGCTGATGTTTCCGTGTTATAGCAGATCAAATTTCCTCTCTGAGTAAGAGCTGTAGAAAGGACCAAAGGAAAACCTTTTAAAAATCAGTTGTTACTAAAAAATGTTTAAAGATGCCAATTAGTGGCAAGGACTAATGACACCGCCTCTCATAAAACAGTTCATTAGCTGTATACCTATCTGTGCTTGATTGCTAAAGATACATCATATGCATATCTGAAGAATGGAAGATAAAAGGACACATACTTTTTGGTAACTTTATATTTTCTTTTCTTATTGAGTGAGGTGTGATGTGAATCAGGTGCACCTAGTTGCTTCATCATGACCATACTGGTGCATAACATCTTGTGTTATTTCAAGACCTAAAAAGGAACTACAAGAGCAAGGACCTTATGGTAAAATTACTTCAATTCACCAGCTGTTGAGCATGAATTCTTCATGCAGTGGTGTAAAAATATGACAAAAACATACCACTCCTTATGAAAACGGCTTAGAGGTGTGTGCACTGGCCTGGAGAACTCTTGGTTCCTCATCAATCTCTGATTCTGAGAAAATCTCTCCTTTATGTTCCCTGATGGCTAGTATTTATTTTAGAAGAGGAGCTACTACATGAAGCATATACAAGCTCTCTCGCTCACTCTCTGTGTTCTTAGCCTTAGTTAGACACTCAACATGCTTATTTTTCAGTGCACACTGAGAAATAAGACTAGCAATGGAGAATTTCAGTCAGAACTGAAGGCCTCTTATGAAAAATGTATGAAGAGCGAACAGATCAAATTGACATTACCAAATTCCACGTGTTAAGCCTGTGGAATATTTCTCAATGATTAGCAACTAAATGTAGACAAAAAATGGATTATATTACCCTGGGAAGCCTGGTCTAGTATTAAATGTGGAGGTTGGCGGCCCTGCCTGCAGAAGGGGGGGTTGGAGCTTCATGATCCTTGAGGTCCCTTCAACCCAAGCTATTCTATGATTCTATGATTCTATGACTACCTGTTCTAAACTTATCTAACAATCATGACCCCAGCAGTTCATTTAAAAGTCCCTCTCAGGCTTTCTGTATGTAAATAAAGAGTAATCCCAAGCAGGACACCAACTTTTCTTTCCAATTTCAATCAGAATATGAAGATCTGTCTGTAAGAGAAAATAAGCCCAAAGCATAGTCCCAACAATATTTACTTATAAAATGAACTCATTTTATCTGGAAAATTTTGAGGTACAAATCAAGTGTGTCCTATTTCTACAAAATCTTTTTTTTTTTTTTTTTTCCAAAGAAAAGATCAGTTTTGAAGATTATTGTATACTCTGAAAAAGTAAGAATGTTGTCAGAATATATTTCTGATATAAAAAATGTCATTGTCCATTTGGAGGCTTTGCAAGCATTAGTTGTCAATGGTAAAGCACCTTGGACTTCTGCTTCAAAACCAGCTCTAACATGGAAACTGTGTAAATATGAAGTAGAATTGTAAGGCTACAGCAGATGTGCAAAACACCACTGCATCACTTAAATGCCTTGAGAAATGGTCCTGGTGTCTCTTCACTTTCAAGCAGGACAGAAAGTCCACCACACAGTAACCTCTTGAGGCTAGATTGTGGCATGCTGGGTTTCTCCCCTCTAGCCACTCAACAAGAAGCCAGCAGATAATGGAGGTGACTGCATTTACCATACAGAGGTAAACTTATGCTGTTTATTTTCCGTCCTGTTATGGCACTACATGCAATGTATGCCTGCTTCTGACAGACAGCTGAGGGGTACGCTCTATTTCCATGCAAAGGATGCTGAAGCTCAAAGAGAATGCTGAGAGCAAACATTTAAAAACATCTAAGCTGACCCCCTATTTTCTGCACTTACACAGCCATTAGTGAGAGCAAAATTATCTGCACAGACAGATGCATCAGAGTGGAACTCAAACCCACAGTGCAAAAGGGGAATAAAACATTTTCAATAAATGTACCTGAAGTGATGCTAAAATCTGCAGGCAGAAGCAGCAAGGAATCTGCTCTCTGGTGACAGGCAATTCCTGTGTTCAGTTTGTTGTCCTCCCACAAAGCTGCTGTGTATTTTCACTCAAGCTATGCCTACGCAGTAACTGTGAAATGTGACCATGGGATGGGTAGGCACACCTCAGCCAGCTTTCATCTAGCAATGTGCAGTATTAGTAGTGATGTGTTTCAGTATAGATCATAGATTACAAGTATTTACCAGCTAAGGTCATGCATAACTGTAACGAACCTCAAACTGCTTAGCAGTGATATTCAGACACAACTAAGCTGATGAAAATGCTTCTCCCCATGCTGTAGCCTCTTCCCTAGCAGCAAGATGATATTCTCCAGGTTGTGTCTAAACTAACTTACAGCTGTTTGCAATGGAAGAACTGGGATTCTTGATCAGATCATACATGCGGGGAAAACCAGGACTCAAGTCTGGTGTCACTGGGGTTGGGTTCATTCAAGTTCAGTGACAAAATGTCTCTGTTTCACAGGATATTTTAAGGGTAAATTTCATTACAGAGTTTGAAGGGTGCTGATGATTTAGGAATGAAGACCAAAATTTGATGGAACTTATGTTTCTGAAGCAAACAAATACTTTCAGAAGCTACAGTGGTTGGATTGTCTCAACCATTACGCATAAAAACCAAAAATTGTTTATACCAGACACTGAGTACAGTCAAGGAGCTGATATCCAAATATTAAAACTGATTACAAGCAAAAAGAATTATTTTTAAAAAGTAAATGCCAAAGAACTGATTCTCTGGTATATTACTTCACTCGGTGATCCTCTCAGCATGTCACCTTCTGCAGCGACCCAGTGACAGCACTCATTTACAATAACTATTTTACACAGGCTATTTTGTGTTTGTGTCTAAACTATTAAAAAAAAAAAAAACCTTCACACAAATAGTCTCTTCCCATCTATTAAGAGACAACAAATGCAGTATGCAAGAGTGCACTCTGTTATGAGACTTCCTTCTGGTGCCACTCTGTCTGAGCGTAGTTTTTGTGCATCAGAAGACTCTGATAAAGCTACATCTTTTTATGGTATGCTTCTACAGTGACTTCTCTGCGTATGTTCAGTTGCTGAAAACCTCGGGAACAGTCTCAGGATGACTATAATATGTGACTCTGCAATAGCTAAAAATAGTTATCAGATAAAGTTTTACAAATCAAAGTAGTCCAAACTTTTTTTTTTTTTTTTTTTTTCTAGCAGCATGTAGCAGCTCACTCTTTTCTCTTTAAAAAAAAAAAGCACTGAAGAAACATTAAGATTTTTACTGCCTTCTGTACTAAAGCAAACTATACACCTGATAAGCCCTTATTTTGATCACAGTTGCGGAGAGAACTCCTTAAAACTGGTGGTAAGAATCTTCTTTCTCTTTTACTGCAGTATTTGCTGTAATCATTCTGTCTTCTGACAAATAGTAGCCTAACTTCTTCACTGCTGTTGCTCTCTTATTAACCTACACAGTATTTAGTTTATTACTAATGCTCACAGTCATCTGGGACAAAGACACACATGCACTTCTTAGATGCAAGGAACTTTGTTCTTCCTTTGGATGTAAATAAGAGGAGGGTGAGAAAATCTGTCTTGGCTGAGTTTAACTCCACTAAAAATCAATTTTGAAAAAAACAATCAAGAAATGAAAAGCTGTAGTCCTTACCTGATCTGAGATGTACAGTGCACATTGAAAGCGTCTTAAATGTCAGAGAAGAATTAGAAATAGTTGAAAGTTTGCATTCATCCAACCACAAGGCTCAGGAAATGACCTCCGTATTTTGTAACGATTAACTCCTTCCTCACTGTCTTCACTTTTTCAAGTACAGCAAAAAATCCATCCTACCCTCCACTGCAACTTGGTAACTACTGCCACGCTCTACACTTGATTTCTGTTTCACAGTGAGAATATGCAGGTGTCTAGAGAAGACGTCTCTGTTCACCTCTGTGGAAGAGAGAATTTACAGCATCTTCTGCATAACTGTAACAAAGTACATTTTACTGTTGTGTGAAGCTTATTGATGAGGTGCGGAAATGACTAAGTAATGTCTTAAGTAGCTAACTCTCAGTTTTAGAAGCTTAGAACAATATTCTCAGCATGACTTGTGCTGTGTCACCCAGCAGAGCAAGACAAAAAACAAAAAACAGAAAATGCAGAAAATGCTGTTACTTAGAGAGCAATGTCCATTGCAGTCTGGACATGCATTTGGTGTGTATATGGTCTGAGATACTTTTATGCACACAGGGTCTCTAGGTGAAAGTTGGGCATACTGCAACACCAGAAGTTAGGTCTTCTGTACATAAAAACCTTCTGCTCCATGAGCCCTACTCCCTTGGCTGTATGTACCTGTTCAGGTGAAAGGCATTTCTGAGTCTGAGCATTACATAAAACCACTGGCCTGGGAGCTAGTGAGGGCCAGTCCCTCCAGGAACACTCACCGTCATTGGGGTACTCCCACGCTGAAGATGAGGTGGCACTTGGGATCTCTCCTTGCAGGTCTGGGTGGCAATCAGGACCCTAAAATGTATTCCCCTCACCTGAAAGCTGCAGCCCAAGGAAGAAAACACTTCCAACAATATGGCTGGTAACACAGAACCCTTCTCCTTTTCTTATGATTTAGAAAGCAAGTCCTGGACACACATGCATGCCCTTTCCTCAGCTCTGAAGTCTCCTCACCTAGGCATCTGTAGGTTTTGTTTAAAAACACTATGGGGGAGAGAAGTGTCATTCCTTGCATTTGGGGTGTTGGTAGAGGAAGAGAGAATAGAAATGTCATCAGCATGCACTTTTGCATGACAGTTTCATAGCTAAAGCAGTCAGATAGATTGGTTCAGGTTTTTTTTCTTTGAGAAGAGCTAAATCTATGTTTTGTACACCTAACAGGGCAATACCTGAGCCTGCAAACTGCAGCATTTCCTCTAGTGGGAAAGATAAGGCTCTTTCCCTCTCTTGCATCAGATGCTCACACCTTCCTGTTTGCACAAGGAGGAGGAGTAATGAGGGGGTTGCTGAGGATCAAACACAGATTCGAATTCTGCTCCAAGGATATTCTGCATAAAACATGTCTAAAGCCCACAGAAATTACAGGGATGGATCTAGTCCATTCTTCTCACTAAAGTTGAACAGATCAAACAGACTTGAAGTATCAGCAAGACTGCTCCAGAGATTTTCCATGGGAGATGCACTATATGAACAACATCAATCACTTCAGTAACAATTATCAGAGCTAATCCTTGTCCAGCTCTTGATGGGTGGTGGGTTTCAAGAAATGGGATTCTTCTGTGTGTGTGTTGGACAGGGCTGAGGGTCCTCCAGCCAGGCAGACACTGGGGGGCTTCTTCCTTCGGAGAACAGTTATCCAAGGAAGGGGTGGGATTGTCTCACCAGCCCCTGGACACTCACACTCTAGATATCTACATCAGAGCTAGCCATCTCAGGCATCTTGGATATAGGCAATGGTGAGAAACAGTAATATATAGGATTCTTTATCTGAGAGTTTTAACAGTAAGAGTTCCTTTTGATATATGTATACATTTGCATAATTTGTATTGATTTTTTTTCTGAAATAAACAAAATCCTTCACAAGCATTATCTCCAGTAGTAGCAACTCATGATGCATGCTCCCATGAGGCACCAAGGAGTGTGATTTGCCCTCAGTTAATTCTTTCACACTTTGCCACAAAGACGGTGGGGATAGTCATGGTTTTCATTGTAAGCAGGTGATTCCTCAAGCTAGAGCTATTTATTATATTGCTTCATATGCAGAAGCATCTGAGATTTTTATATAAAATGTGGCTGCAGAACAGACTCAAGTTCCTCTTGCCTTGACTCCTCCACTTTCACATACAAAAACTGAATTAACTGTACATGTCAGCTGTCAGACCCACTTCTCACCATGGGCTTGCAGGTAAACAGGAAGGAGTTTCAGTCTCACAACCTCAAAGTATGCAAAAAATATTGAATGAGACATCCTAAAAATTAATTAAACCTGGTCTGTTTCCTCAATTATTTTTTAAAAAGTCTTCTTTCATTTTAAACATAGCAGGTTAGAAATAGAGCTCCATTTCTACTTTTTGATCCCTAAAGGTGCAAAATATCTCAAATTTTACAACTCTTATTCACTGCATTTTTTAAAAAAATCTTTCCCCTCTACAAATGCTGAAAGGTAGTTTCAGAAAAAAAAAAAAAATCAGCATATACTTTTGGTAAAAAAAAATATGAAATACAGTGGTCCTATAGTATTACATGTTATAATGAGTGTTATTATTATTACTATAATGACTATTACTATTGTTTCAAGATAGGCTATTTCAGAGAATCCATTTGTCCATGTTCAGATTTCCTGAGCAAGCAATTAGTTGCTACGAAATCATTACTCTGAAAATTGATCACATCTTTCAAAATGACTATGAGTGATATTGTAGATTTTTATAGATCAGTTTTCTTTGGGTGAATTTGCAGCCTTCTGCAAGCCCATAGTCACCTTACCAAGCAAAGTAAGGTCAAGAGTTCATCTTGCAAGCCTGCCCTGAAGCCATCTCGGTTTATGAATATTTGTGTGCCTTTGGTATGAATTTACATTTTAACTATATTCTCCTGGGAGACAGGGGTGTGATTTTTGTTCCTGAAAGACATTTAAGATGACTCTGTTAATGATTATTATTATTTTTTTTTATGATGTTAGAAAGCTTCTAATTATACTGACATTGCAGTGAGCTTCCTCTAGCGTGAATTTGCACCAGCCTTGAGGGTGACCTGAATGTGCCTATGGTTCTGGTGCCCAGAGGAATAATATGTGAAAGGGGATTTGATTTGCTCAAGGCACTGAGGGCTCCCTGGCCACAAGGTATAACAAAATCTTACACAAAAATAGAGCAAAAAGAAATATTGGCGGGGCTGCACTAAGGCTAAATGTGTTTATTTATTCCCAGAGCAACAAATGTACAGTATTTTGCATCCCCCTGACAGACACAGCCTGGTAGTCAACATTAAGAGAGGGAGACCTGACGACTAGAGCATGTAGCAGGATGCTAGCTGTGATATCAACAAATAAGAGAAAGGCAAACTGACACCACATTCTTCCTGAAGGCCTAGTTCTAGAAACCTGTGACACAGTTGCCTTCACTAAGACCTAGTGGGATGATTCCCCTGGCTGGAGTGTAGTTATTGACAGCTACAAGTGGTTCGGGGAGCTAGATAACAAAACTCCCTGGGAAATTACCCTCAAGGACAAGGGAGGGAGCAGAGTTGGCAGATGTTTAAGTGAACTTTCTTTAGGGAACAAGGGCTCTACATTCCCAGGTGTAGGAAGTCAGGAAAGGAAGGCAAGAGGGCAGCATGACTGCACTGCAACCCGCTGGTCAAACTGGAGAACAAGAAGAAAATGCACAGGCAGTGGAAACAGGGACAGTATAGCAATGCTCCTGGTCTGAAACTGGGCTTGGCAAAGGGTGCAAAGAATAACAAGAAGGGATTCCACAAGTATATAAACTAGAAAAGGAAAATCCAGGAGGATTTACCCTGCCTCAAGTGAATAATACAGGCAATCTGGTAACAATGGACAAGGAGAAGGGGTCTGTACTGGAACAAAAGCTGTTGAATATCTTCATCAGTGACATTGATAGTGGGATTGAGTGCACCCTCAGCAAGTTTGTGAATGACACCAAGCTGCGTGGTGTGGTGTGGTCAACATGCCTGAGGGACAGCATGCCATCCAGACGGACCTAGTCCAGTTCCATTTGTGCCTTGTCTTTCCTGACCCCATCTCTACACAGCATAGCAACTGTCTCCTATGAGGGGCTGTTAAGCTTGGAGAAAAGAAGGCTCCAGGGAGATTTGATAGTGACCTTTCAGTAGGGGGCTTTAAGTAAGAAGGGGACATACTCTTTAGCAGGTTCTGTTATGACAGGACGAGGACAAATGGTTCCAAATTCACAGAATCACAGGATCACAGAATCGTAGGGGTTGGAAGGGACCTCCAGAGATCATCGAGTCCAACCCCCCTGC